CAGTGTGGGGGTGATGGGGGACACCGTGCAGTGGGGACAGGGTGTAGGACCCCCCCCCAAACCCCCCAAGGCCCCATCCGCCTCCAGCTCTGGTGCCCGCCGGCCGGCCGGGCCGTCAGCCGAAATAGGGGTTGTCGTGTTGGAAGTTGTAGTCGGGACAGACCTTCTGGACCAACTTGTAGTCGATGCTGAGGAAGGAGATGAAGATGCAGATGACCTTGAAGGGCTTGGCGCAGAGCCAGGCGGCGTGGCTCTGCGTGTGCTCGGTGAAACACACCTTGGAAGGGTCGTACAAGCAAGGCTTGTTCTTCCTCGCCCGGTTGGTCTTCTCGTACTCCACGTGGCAGTTGAGGGCCTTGACCGGGCGCCCTTCGGGTAAGGTGCTCTGTTGAGGGGGTGAAAAGGGAAGCGGCGGGGGGGCTGGCACCAACACCTCGAAACCCACCGCTTTGGAAGGGGGCACGATGCTGACGGAGACGTTGCCCAGGCTGGAGGAGTTGTGGCGGAAATAAACGCTGAAGGTGCCGTTGATGTGGTCCACGATCTTCCCCGTCACCAGGAGGCTGAACTTGAGCGTCTTGATGTTGAAGTAGAAGTCGCCCCAACCGAAAATCTTCTTGGTGCGGCCGGATTTGAGCGTGGGCTTACGGCGGGCGCGGGGGCTGGGCAGGTCCCCCGTCGTCTGGTTCTTCTGCCAGTCCCAGGGGCTCCGACCAGCGCCCAAGGGGGTCCCCGCGCCCTGGGGGGGCTCAGCTGGAATCAGCTTCCTGGGGTCGAGCATCGGGGGCTTCAAGGTGCCGTAGGGGACATCTTTGAGGAGGCCAGAGGTGCCCAGCTCCAGGTACCCCAAGGTCTTGGCGATGTGGCCCCCAGCACACACCGTCTGGGGGGATAGAGGGCAAAGACTGTAGGAGCTGTGTCTGCCACCCTCTTGCCTGCCACCCTCTTGCCCGCCACCCTCTTGCTTGCCACCCTCTTGCCCGCCACCCTCTTGCCCACCACCCTCTTGCCCATCCTCCTGCCCGTCCCCACGAGCCCTCCTGTGACTGTGTACCCCTCCATCCCTCCCGTGGCCACGCACCCCACCAGCACCGTGCACCCCATTGGTACCGTTGCCCCTCCATCTGCTGTGCCCCCCCAAGCCTGGCTGCACTCTGCCCCCCCAGAGCCCCCCACAAGGCTGTTCTTGATCCCCCAGGAGTCAGGGCTGCATCTGCAGCATC